GTGATTTTTTTTTTTTGTATCTATTGAGATAATCATATATTTTTATTTTCCCTTTAGTCTGATATGTCTCAATAGCATTGTCTCAATTACTCCAAGACTCTCCTTAGAATGGCTGGCCTTTCTGGATTCCTTTTCTCTTTTTCAAAAAAGACAAATTTTTATAAATTATGAGTGCCTCCTGTAATGTATAACCTCTGTATAAGATGACTTCTTTCAGCCTGATAGCAGAAGATGAGTTCACAATTCCTTTATCTTCCCTAAGTAAAGTGTCACTGAGTGTCTCCACGTAATTCCTTGGAATCGCCAAAGGAATGTATTCATGATCACAAAAACCAGTTTGACAGCTCCTGTCAGCAAGGCACACTGGCTCTTCCTGTCCAGGTCCAGCTCACATCCTCTGTGCCCACCCTGCTCCTGCTCCACGTGGCCTCCCCTCCCCTCCCCACTGTGTCAGGGCCACTGGGGAGCCCCAGGAACCACCCAGAAGTCTGAGCCACAGCTCAGTGGGTCAGGCTGAAAATGAACCTGCTTCAAGGACCGTGGTGAATAGGCCTCCTCGCTATTTCAGTATCACAATTTGGCTAAAAGCAACTCCTCTTCTAAGAAGTGTTTGCTTTGTAGTTGTATTGGCTCTTGGCTCTCATTCCCTGCCCAGAATCACATAGCTCTCCCAGGAAATGAGTTGTTAAGGTCTACACCCTCACCTTTGAACTTGGGCCTAAGTCTATACCAGTTGCCTCCCGTGTTCCCCGTCCTGGCCGCACTCCCCAGAATTCTCCCAGAATAACCCAGAACAACCAGCCCAGTGCTCTGCTGTAAGACACACAAATCCAAGTTCAGAAAACTCAAAAGAAATCATGCCCACCCTTACCAGCACGGAGCAGCAGAAATCCCTCAAAGTCATTTCAGATACTAACCCCCTAACACCTGGCCCTGCTTATTTTGTCTGTCCTGCCCCTGCCTCTCTTTCTCCTGTCTCGCCTGCTCACGCCCATCCCCCATTTGGTCCTCTCAACACAAGTCAGTTCTCTCTTTCCTACCATGTTGAAATTGAAATGCCAAGAGAATTCCTGATAACTTTACAAGGAAAGTAAAGAAGGTTTGAATCTTTCTTACTTCAGTTTGAAACTTCAGCCTCAGTTACTTCAATATCAGTTGCCCTTCTCCAGGGAATACAGTGCAGGGATGTAGTTAGATATTTTTCTTCTCTTTCACCTGCTCCACCACCTTCTGTTTTTTTTTTTTTTTTTCTGTAGCTTCTGATATCTTCAGTCCTAGTGAAAAGGGCAAAGGAAGACAGAAAATGTATCTGACTTGTTCTTGTTGCCTGCTCAGCAGGCTTCCAGGGGTTCTTTGTGAAAGACACAGAATGAGGAATCTCTGATGAGCTGAAGGTGTGAGAGCTCAGCTTTGCAAGAGATATGCCCACAGCAGAGTTCCCTGATATGGGGGGCATATCCAAGCCTCCCCTTCTGTGACCCTGCTAAGTTTCCTTTCTGCAGGGTTCAATTCATGGCCACTGGTACCTGCTGCCCCTCCTAGCAGGGATCTGGGGGCAGCAGTGCTGGAAACCTTGAATTTGAACTTTGTCATGTGAGGTGTTTCTGCCCTTCCTTGGGGTAGTAGCAAGGAGATAACAACACCGTTTTGCTAGGAAAATCATTCTCCATTCTGACATTTTTCATTTTCTATTTTATAATGGTGTAAATAGCAGATCTTCTACAGTTTCTTGTTAGTATCTAGATTGGCTCTAGATCTCCAGGGCTTTTTCTAGAACTTGAAGATATTTGGTGCTCTGTTTTGATGGTTGGAATTTGAACTAAAGTTCTAAAAAGAAGTGCCTCACCGGCGGCACAGGGGTTAAAGACAGTGCTATCAAGCTGTCGCCAGCCACAGCAGCAGGAGTTTGATCCCGCCAGCCAGGGAGCAACCCACATGGTACAGCAGACCTCTCCTGACTCGCCCGCTACTCCCCTCAACAGTGCACTTCATTAGATCTGCCTGTTCTGCTGCCCACTCTCTCTGGTGAACCCTCTCACCCCCCACAACTCTGGCGCGTACCCCAGTTCTTGTATGCATAAATAAATAAATCTTAAAAAAAAAGAAGAAAATTATGAACCAGCATCATGGTAGAGGCTGGAGACAGATTAGAGGGCAGAAAAGCTGCATTTATTGAGGATAATGCTGAAGGCAACAGTGGACCAGGTAGGAATGTTGTTTTGCCTTGGGGAGGGGTCCTCAGCCTCATTTTTATACCCTGCTTTTTCTGGATTTTCAAGGATTCAAGGCACCCATTTTTGTAGGTTAACATCTGCTGGGGTGTTGGGTCAGGATTAGCCCTGCATTCCTTGAAGTTCCCACTACCTTTTTTGATCATATGTAAGTTTTGTGGGTTGGTTCCCCTTATCTTTTCAAGCCTCCCAAGGTTTTATGATATGGTTTCCATGGCAAAAATTTGGTCCCCGTTATCTATTCAAACCTCCCATTCTTGTCTGCTGAGCAAAGAAGGGGGGGATGTTTGAATTTTGACCCTTTAAAATGATACCACAACACCAACCCCTATAAAAAGGGCTGGGGGTGCAATTGAATGGGGATTATAACCAAAATAATAATGCATACATTGTGCAAAAATGAATAATGATGTAAGAATTATATAAAATAAAATATTAATTAAAAAATAAAATGTTAATTAAAAAAGGGCTTCATTTGAGATATCACTTAATCAACTGTGTGTACTGTTTTCTCATCTGCTTTTTGCCAACAAACAACAGACCGTGAACATTTTTCTCCATAAGACAATAGAAGTCCATGATATCAAAGGTAATAGCAAAATTAATACATTATGTATGGATTATTGAAGTTTGTAACTATGACTGTATTTTCCTTTGACTCTAGCATGATTCAATCAATTCAAATATTCAATAGGTTTTAATTTATACAAATCCATTAAAAAAAAAGCCCTGTAGATGGTCAACTGTTCAATATATTTAATTGCTATCAAAACCTAATTTGGCTCTGCTCACCTCATGCCCCAAGCTCCCTGTCATTCCCAGGTGCCAATAATCATGAGAGGGGTCGCACTTCCTCCACAGAAGATTCTTGCCCTAGGCCCAATCCACTGTCCACACAACTCACTGCCAGGAGCTCTGGAAGCTCATGGATTACTTTGAAGGCCTTGGCCACTGGGGCAGGCTGGAGACACTGTGCACATTATGTTTACCACAAGAATTTATCTTATGATTTATTCATTTGTCTGTGAGTCTGCTGTGATATACTCAAGAAATTGTTATTGATATACTCAGTGGCATACTACACAACTATTAAAAAAAAGATGAAATTGTGTCTTTTGTGACAATATGGATGGAACTTGAGGTGAGTATACTGAGTGAAATAAGTCAGAAAATGAAAGACAATTACTGCATAGTTTGACACATTTGTAGAATATGAAAGACAAACAACAACAACAACAAAACCCACAAAACAGGCAAAACACAAAAGGATAACTCTCAGACTGCAAAAAATATGGTGGTTACAGGGGCGTGGGGTGAGAGGCTAGCAGGGAATCCCTGACAATGTGTATGCACAGGAGCTCAGGAGGGCGGTGAAAAAAAGCCTGTGCACATGTCTTGTGTGAAGCTGTACCCCTGAAATGATATGTCATGTAAACAAACACCAAATCAATAATATTTGATAAAAAAAGAAAAAACTTCCACTGAAAACAATGTGCTAGACAAAAGTTATTGTCTTTTTTAAAATATTTATTTATTTATTTATACAAGCACTGGGTATAGTCAGAAGCGCGGGAGGGTGAGAGGATTCACCAGAGACAGAGCGGGGAACAGAACAGGCAGACCGACAAAGTACACTGCTGAGGGGAGCAGTGGGCAGCAGGAGAGGTCTGCGCGCCATGTGGGACCCTCGCCAGTGGCCGGGGATCGAACCGGTGCTGCAGAGGCTGCGGGCAGCTTCCCAACCCAGAGCTCAACCACTGCGCCACCGGGGAGGCCCAAAAGCTATTGTCTTATTAAATATATAGATAAATGGAAGGAAAATGAAAAACCCTCAGGCTAAAAACTCAGTAAAACCAACAGCTCAGAGAAATAATAAAAAGCAAACATAAAAAACCAAAAACAACAACACAATTCTTTCCTTGTCAAACCTGTTCCAAGAAAAGCACTAGAGAGAGTCTGCACGAGGCATGCAAGCAGAAAGCAGAAAGGAAGAAGGAGGATGGCAGGTCAGGCTCCCTGCACCTGGGGCTAGGGGTGGGGCTATGTGGACAGTCATGCTTCCTCCTTGAACCTACCTAGCTGGACATTATGCAAGTGCCAGGTAAGGGACAGGAGGTCTAGTCCTGGGAGGGTGCCAGGCGGTCCCCTCCCTGCATGAGAAAGCAGCCGCGTGCTCCGGCCCTGCATCACACCCTGCGCAGGATAAAAGTGCTCCTGCCCTGGGCTCCCCATGCACAGCCTCCTCGGGTACAGCTTCTCCTGCCTCCTCTGCACCTGGTGAGTGCCCAGCAAGGTTGAGACTCCAGTTGAGATGCTGGACTGGAACTAAAGAGGAGGGAGACGGAGGGGTCTGGAGGGAAATCCTGGCGATGAGGACACAGAGAAGGAAACAATGGGGCAAGGGAGGCCAGGAAGGAGTGACAGGAATTCTGTGACCGGCATAAGCCATGGGAACACACGATTCCCTCCCCTGCTCATTCTCTTCTTGTCCACACATGTTCCTGGGACGTTGTCCCTCAGAAGCTCTCCCTGTGGGTGCATCTTCTGTGTGTCTCCCCCGGGAAAAAATCCTGTATCCCCAAGTAGCTTGGCAGCATCAGGTCCTGGGTGGAGAGCACAGGGGGAGGCATCTTGCATGTCCCAGTACCTCCTCATCCCTTGGTCAGAAAGCAGCTGGTCCAGGAAACCAAGAGTGAGGAGATAATTGGATTGTGGATCTGAACTGACAGGCATTTTTCTTTTGTCCAGGCTCATCCTCCTCCCGCCACGATGTCCTGCCAGCAGAACCAGCAGCAGTGCCAGCCCCCTCCCAAGTGCCCTACACCCAAGTGTCCCACACCCAAGTGCCCCCCCAAGAGCCCAGTGCAGTGCTTGCCTCCGGCCTCCTCGGGCTGTGCGCTCAGCTCCGGGGGCTGCCATGGCCCCAGCTCTGGGACTGGCTGCTGCCTGAGCTCCCACAGGTCCCATGGGTGCAGGCGCCAGAGCTCTGGCTCCTGTGGTGCTAGTGGGCAGCAGTCGGGGGGCTCTGGCTGTGGCCGCGGCTCAGGGGGCTGCTGCTGACCTGGACTTCTGATGCTGAAAGGAGCCATTTCAGGGGAGACCAGAATCCCAGGGGCTAGGCAAAGCCCCTGCCTGACACAGCTGTTCCCACACACTCCATCCTGGTTTCTGCAGCTATGCCAGATGTCCCAGGGAGGCTTCCCTGTCGTCCCAAGAGGCTCCATCTATCTGATGTCTAGAATCTCAAAGTTCCCCCCTTTCCTTGCCTGTGACTGGGGTGCCTAACCCCAACTGAGAAAAATAAAGCTTCTCTTCCTCATTTACATCAGTGCTCATGTGTTACTTCACTTTGTCCTTCCTGGTTACTGGTGACTGGTCCTCTGTCTGCCCCCACGTCCATCGCCATCCTGCCAAGGGTGCAGGATGCTGGACTAGGCCCTCACTGAACGAGGAGGGGTCTGGCTTTGTTTTATACTGGATATTGACCCTGGTGAGAGGGGGCATTGGGCAGGTCCTGCCACCACCAGGACCAGGGCAATTGTCCTAAGAAGGTGAGTAGATGCCCCTCTCACGGTGCCTCCCAGGCTCTACCAGGAGCTACGATTCACTTTTTGTGAGCAGTTTCGGCATCCCATTAAGAAACAGAGATTGCATAGCAGCAAATACTAAAAAACTAGGCACAAGGCAGTTCTCAATGAGAAGAAATTTGATCTTGGAAAATGTCAAACTATTTCACTTTAGCATCCAGATCTCAGAACTTTTAAAATCATGAGATTTAATGGAAAAAGGACTCCCAGTTAATTTGCTTCCAGACATACTCTGACAAGGAGTAACTCACTCAGGTCCACACCTTTCCCTCAGATCTGCCAGATTTGGATACATCACAATGAAAACCTTGTCACCCCAGACCTGAGAAATTCTTGGAGAGTGCGATTCCAAGGATAGGAGCAGTATAAGGCCATGGCGAAAATATAAAATAAATTCAGGATGGAAAAGCTTCTGGGTGGTCAGTCACCCCAGCAGTGTGAGACCTCACTCAGCCTCATGGGTGGGGGGTGCTGGTGACCCAGAGGCACACAGTGCAGGAGCTGAGCTGCGCTGCCATGTGGAGCGTGGCTGCAGTGCTGGGCCACACTGTAAATGCACATCGGCTTCCAGAGAAGCTGGACTCAGCCCTTGAAGTAATCCAGTCTGTCACCCACCAAGACTGTAGACTGAGACTTGGGGGTTTAGAATCCCTATCAGTCTCAAGCTCTCAGTGCTGAAGTAGCCACAATCCCTGCAGTCAGTGAGTGCACCAGGAGGGAGAAGAAATAGTGCTGGACCCAAAGTGAAGCTTGAACCTGCAACACCAGCACAGTGGAGTGAAAGCCACAGCTGTGCAGCTTGTGATGCTGTCCCTGAAACTGGACCCCAACAGGTGAAAGTTCAGTAGTGGGGTGATGCCCCAGGTTCCATCAGGAGCACCCCCATTGCAATCCAGGACTCAACAGTCAGTAATTCATTGATTCAGAAGCTATTTCTTAAGCACCCACTATGAGCAGAACTGTAGGTCCTGGACATACGAAAGAGATAAGAAAGACCGTTTCTGATTTCCTGGCAATGCAGCAGAGGAATGCAGTGTCTCTGTCTGGAGGCTGCTGTACCCTTGGATAGGGGAGGCAGGGTGTAGGTTTGATTCACACAATCAAGAACCCCAGCCTGGGAAAAATATTGAGACCAAATCATACTGGCTTTGCTGCTGTCATAAATTCATATGATCACTTCTTGCTTTCATACAATGGCAATTGTCAAGTCACACCAGCCAATGAACCACTAAAGGTGATGGGAGAATATAGGCCTCTGGGCTCATGTCCCTCCCAGACCCTCTCCTTTCTCCCTCCAAAGTCCCAGTGAAAAAGCAAGTTTGCACCAGTTCTGTGAATGCTTTTGTTTTCCTCCCTGTTCTACCATATTTGAGCATCTCTCATTGGGCACTTACCTTGGCAGACCTTCCTGCAACAGAATAAACACACACACATTAACTGTTAAAATGTTTTATCTCAAACTCTAATTTTCAATTATATGTGTGATGTAAAATATTTGTCCTATTCTTTTTTTTTTAAAGATTTATTTATTTTCACAAGAACTGGGGTACAGGACAGAGGCGCGGGAGGGTGAGAGAATTCACCAGAGACTGAGTGGAGAGCAGAACAGGCAGACTGACTGAAAGCACTGCTGAGGGGAGCAGCAGGCACGACAGGAGAGGTCTGCCTCACCATGGGGATCTCTCCGTGGCCAGCTGGGAATCGAATCCACGCTGCAGAGGCTGCAGATAGCTTCACAGTGCTGAGCTCAACCCGCTGCACCACCGGGGAGGTCCCATATTTATCCTATTCTTAAGTGTAATTCTGTTTAAGAGGGGAATACATCTCTAGTTTAAAATAAAATAAGAAAAATGTCCACAGTAGATTTAAATGCAGTTTTAGCAGATGTTAGTCAATTCAATTGCATCATGTCAACTGTGCATAATAGCACTTCCACATCTAATTATTATTCACCGGAAGATAATTATAATTATCTTTCAGCTAAATCTCCCCTGGTTGTCCAGCCTAGGTGACTCACCTTTCCTGAACCATCCTGAAACTCAGAAACAGAGTAAAGGATTCCATGACACATCTTTCATTGGATACAGGTTGTTTCTTATTTACAGCTCTGATTTCACCTCTAAAAATCTACGGCATTGTGCCCTCCTAAGAGTATGGCCATTATTCTCCCCAAACACTGCCATGCAGGTAGCTTGCTCCTGAAGAAACAGGGGGGCAAGGTCAGGATTATCTAATCGCACAACCAGCACGTTGTGAGCATGTTATTCTGGTCCCTTCTGTCAGTCATGTGCTGCCCTCAAGCTTCAGAGCGATCACTCCCCCTCTTTGTGGGGACCCTCTGCCTCTGGTTTCATGAGTGTCTCTCAGGTTCCCCCCTGCACCAGCCCCCATATGCTCTCTCAGGCTCCACAGTCCACTGTTCCTTCTGTAAACCCTCGCTCAGTTCCTAGGGGCCCAAGTTCCTCTCAGCTGCTCCCAGGGGATACCAGTGCAATATCTGAGCACACCAACCAACAGGAGGCTGATACCCAAGAGCTCCTGCTCGAGCCTGAGGCCTCTCTGCACATGTCCGCGTCACCTGTCATCACCTTGGCTCACAGCTGATGGGCTGCCCACCCGCCCGCTCGCCCGCCATCCTGTGGGCTGCTCCACCAGGCCCATGCTTATTCACTCTGATTTCCTGGCGCACCAGGCCCAGTGTGGTATCAGTTTTTGTGATATTTTATTTATTTTATTTTTTAATTTATTTTATCATTTTTTAAGATTTATTTATTTATTTATACAAGCATTGGGTACAGTCAGAAGTGTGGGAGGGTGAGAGAATTCACCAGAGCCAGAGCGGGGAACAGAACAGGCAGACTGACGAAATACACTGCTGAGGGGAGCAGCGGGCAGCAGGAGAGGTCTGCACGCCATGTGGGACCCTTGCCGGCTGCTGGGGATCGAACTGGCGCTGCAGAGGCTGCGGGCAGCTTCGCAGCCCAGCGCTCAACCGCTGCACCACCGGGGAGGCCCTTTGTGACATTTTAGAGAATGAAAAAAGAAAGGAAGGAAAGAGGAATGAACAAAGAAAGAGTGGGAGGGCTAGAAGAAAACAAGACCACCAGAAAGTTAAGGAACAGCCATCTGAACAGGTCCCTTCTCGTAGGAAAACATGCTCGCTGTCCCCTTCCCTCCCTAACACGAGTCCCTGCAACCTCCCGGTGAGTGACACAGGGAACGGGGACTGGTGAGAAAGTCCTGTCCAAACCCCTGTGGGTTAGAACTCCCGGGACAACGGCTCTCTCCTCCAGGTGCCCAGACAGGGATCCCTGAGCATGGAGCTTCAGCCCCTCAGGCGCCCAGCTCCCAGGCCCACGGGCAGAACCTCAGTCCTGTGTGTCGTAGACAGGTGAGGAGCTGGAGGGGAGGTTTGCAGGAGAACATGGCAAGGTGTGAGACTCGAGAAACAGAATCAGAATTTCTGATTGGCCAGAAATACATACTGCCTGCCAAAGAGCTGTGTTGGTTTGTGGGCAACAGGTAGAGAAGGCTACAGGGAATCCTGTTCTTCAATCTTCATCTTTCTTTTCCTTCTCATATGATCTGATCTTCTCAGGCTGGTCATACATTGGCATCCTTTGGGTGATATTAAAAATTCTGATAATTAGGGTACACTGCAGACTATGTCAATGAATGCCTTTGGGGATAAAGAGTCAGAGAGTTGCTTTTTTTAAAAAATTTTCTAGATAAAATATATATAAATAAAAAAATAAATAAAATTAAAAAAATAGAAATTAAAAAATCAGTGCCAAAAATAGAACAATGATGTAACATGTATATCAATAAATAAATTTAATTAAAAAAAACTTCCAAGATAATTTCACTGTGGGGTCAAAATTTAGAACCTCTAATGGAGAACACGCTCAGTTCTCACCAGATATTTCAGCCCCTTGATCTCCAAAAACCCACTCACTCCCCACTCTCCATTCTAGTTTTTATTGCCTGGATACCCTTTGTACCTGTGTGAGACTTTGAAATAATTAAACTGATTCTAAATCCATCGGCTAACCCAAGCCTCTCTTGACAACCCAGACTCTCTAGGCTGTGAGATAATTCCACCCATCCCTTGGCTCTTTCAGAAGCCCACTGACCACTCTGAGGGTTGCAGAAAACTCAAGGTCACGACAGAAAGATTACAGACCAACTACACTGGCTGATAAAAATGGGAGGACTTGAGGGTGACATAGACTTGGAGGAGCAAAACTTTCCAGTGTTGACATCTGAAGCCTTGCACATTAAACCACAAAACCTTATTTTAATGATATTATTAACTCCAGAAATGACTGTTTTCCTAAATGCACAATTTAGGAAATTATGCACTTTTTAATTTATTGACTGAGAGTGGAAATGTAGGAGGCACCAAAAGAGGCCTTTGGAACAAAAATTGCTCAAGGATTTTTACTACTTTATTTAAATGTCTGAAATCAGTGA